GTCCTTGCGCGCTTTGTTGTGCCTGGGAGACACCGACCTTCCTACTGGTATGCGGCTAAGAGGGTGGCGAATTATGTGGCGAGTACATCAGGCATGGGACTTGTCCTTGGAGGGAAGCAGCCAGTTACACTCACAGGTTACTCGGACTCGTCGTGGGCTGACGACGCGGAGACGCGTCGGTCTACACAGGGGTACTCCTTTAGCCTCGGGGCAGGTGCTGTTTCGTGGCGGTCGACTCGGGCGTCGTCTGTCGCCGGTTCCAGCTGTGAGGCAGAGGTGTACGCTGCGGCCATGGCCGCTCAGGAGCTTCGCTGGCTGTCTTTCCTTCTCACCGACCTTGGTGAGCGGCCTCGCTCTCCCCCAGTCTTGTTCGTCGACAACAGGTCTGCTGTCCTGTTGTGTGAGGAGCCCCGACTGGTTGGGAAGGCGAAGCACATCCAGCTTCGTTACTTCCTTCTGCGTAAGTTGCAGCAGCGTGGCCAGGCCCGCGTGGTTCGTGTGGTCTCTGAGGCCAACACTGCAGATATCTTCACCAAGGCGTTGCCGCCTTGTGACCACCTGCGTTTCTGCACGCAGCTTGGCCTTGTGCCTGCCCGTCCTCACTTGCTTACGTAGAGATGCCTTGTCCTGCATGTCTTGTACTCTTGCATCTCTATATATTTGCTATATGCCTGCATGTGGACTGGCCTTGTGGCCCCTTGCTTGCTCTCGGAGTGTGTGGTGCCTTTGAGCTCCACCCTGAGATTTGTCTTGTTCTTGTGGACTGGTCTTGTGACCGTTGCTTGCTCTTGTTGTTTACACAGGACTATTGTCACCAAGACTATGGGGGTGTGTCAAACTATAATTCTATAGTTTGTGTAGTTCTAGTCTAGGTGTTATCCCTTGTGTTATTTTGTACTTGCACTAGGGTTAGGTTTTGCATATATCTTCTTTGTACTTTCTGTTTTAGTCAATTTTACATTGTGACATCGCCAACCTCTCCCGTCCAACGCAGTGTCGGCGAGATCTCCGGCAAGGAGACACGGGGCCAGAGGTTGAGCTGATGCGCAGCGTACCGGACCGCAAACGGCCACAGAAAATGGGGGGCAGCCGCATGGATCATAGAGGTACGAGCGACCTCCTTGACTAAGCCAATGCGGCGCTCGGCAACCCCATTCTGCTGCGGAGAGGCCGGAAGCATGAACGTCTGGCGAATGCCCTCCCCACGACAAAAGCCCCGCAGAAGGTCGGAGGCAAACTCACCACCTCTGTCAGAGTGCAGACGCAGGACGGGAAGGTCCGTCTCGAACCGCTCGCGGAGCTGGAGACGGACAGCGCGGATCCAAGGGATCAAAACATCAGGGACCTCCCCCTTGCGCAGCAAGGGGAAGACCGTGGTGTAACGCGTGTAGTCATCAACAACCAGCAAAAAGTAGCGCTCGCGGCCCTGTCCTCGGACGCGGGCTGGGCCACACACGTCCATGTGGAGAGTCTGCAGGGGAGCAGTCGTCGGGGGAAACGAGGAGGAGTGAGGAGCGGCGCGCTGCCGCCCCTCGACACACGGAAGGTAAGGAGGGGTAGGCGAGGGTGGGAGGCGAGGCAGAGACCTGGGAAGACCATAGACCAGGAGACGAGAGTGCATGCCACGGAGGCGGTGCACTGAGGGGTGACCAAGACGGTGGTGCCAAAGGAGGGTCTGGTAGAGCGCGACACGAGCGGGGGGCCGCTAGCTGACCTGACGCAGACGAAGACGCAGCTACCTGAGGAGACACAGTAGTCAGTGTGTACAGACTCGAGCCAGGCGCATGGGTGAACGTGGCCAGGTGCCGGCCAGTCCGGGAGCACGTACAGATCGCCACACGCTGTCCTCCTGGAGTAAAGGTGTCAACCCATACATCCTGAAGGACGGCGTTGCTCACCAAGTTCGTAGAGAACGAGGGGAGGTGAAGACCTGACAGTGAGCCAGACGGAACCGCCGGACACAGGAGAACAGTAGAGGAACGTGCAAGGACTGGGCCCCTAGAGGGGTCAGCCAGAGAGACAGCAACAGGTGCAGGGAGCGGTGTGAGTGCGGTACTGTCGCGAAAGAAACAGCGGGAAGCACCTGAGTCAAACGTGAAGGTGTGCAAGGCCTCAGCAGGCGCAGTACCAGAGAGAGCAGACTCACTAGCACCTAGAGCAGCAGCCTCACCCGCACCTAGGGTAGCAGGATCACCAGCACCGAGAGCAGGAGGCTCTATACCTGGGTCGGGCAGCGTACACAGGTAACAGTCACCCTCAGCACTAACAGTCAAAGCATACATGGCAGCAAGGATAGCATCATAATCAAGAGCAAAGATATCCACATTCTGCCTAAGCAGATCTGCCCAGCGAGGGAGCTCAGTAGCGTCGGGAAGGCGTCGTCAAGGCGGGAGAAGCAGCGGTGCAGGGTGTGAAACTTCCTGCATGTCTGACTAGAGCGGACACCTGTGCGAATGACATACGGGCAGCGACCACTACCCCCAGACGCCCCACGCTGAGCAAACCACTCATGAAGCTCCTAGGGGGAAGGGGTCTCATGCTGACGCTGCTGCTGCTGCCTCTGACCACCGCCAAAGCCTCCCCTCTAACTGGTACCGCCTCGGCCGCCCCCACTGCCGCCTCCCCCACTCCCACCGCCGCCACCACTGCCGCCGCCACCACCCCCACTTCCGCCACTACCGCCTCCACCTCCACCTCCACTCCCACCACCACTCCCTCCTCCACCACCGCCACCTCCACCGCCTCCACCACCCCCACCACCGCCTCCACCGCTGCCACCCCCACCGCCCGTGCCTCCCCTGCCCCTGCCATTGCGGCGCCTCCCACTAGGGGCAGACGCAGCTCCTACCTCCTCAGCACGAAGGTAGTCAACAGCTGCAGCAGAGGCGACTGAGGGGACCAGGGGGGAGGGCGAACACCCCTCAAAGAAGGGAGTGCGGGGAGTGCCACGAGACGCCTACAGCGACTATGCTAATCTCAGCTGCCAGGAGGTGCTTCTTGAGCAGGTCGACAGTGAGGTCGGTGGGGTCTAGGGATAGAAGGAGGTCCCTGACAGCAGTAAGAGAGTCAGGGAGGCGGGTGACTATGAAGTAGAGAGTGATGTACATGCGAGGAGGGTTCTTGGTGAGAAACTCGACGGGAAGCGCAGCACGGTAGCGAGTGTCACTAGTGCGAAGGTGAGTGACGAGGTCGGCTACTGTGGCAAAGGCGGACAGCTCTGGGAACAGGTAGGGCAGGAGAAGGCGGCCTAGAGCAGCAGTGGCTGGGGAGGAGTAACGAGCGACTACAGCGTCGTACAGGGCTCTAGCTGTCTTGTGCTAGCCAAAGTGGGTGCGTTCGGCTAGCGGCAGGTGGTTGCGAACGGCTAGGCGAGCAGCAGCGTCACGGGTAAGCCACTCTGAGCGAGTCGCACTGTCATCTGTGGCGGCAGGGGCGAGAGAGGCGCCAGACGTGAGGTCAAACAGTGAAATACCGTCCTTCGAATCGCTCAGTAAGTACAGTTGTAAGTCGTCGAGCCACGCATCAAACTCTATCGGGCGGCCCTCCGGATCGTAAGTGAGGACACTGAGCGTGGCCATAGTGGGCAGCGCAGTCAGGCGCGCTAGCAGCAGAGCAGCACGCAGGCAGAGCAGCACGCAGGCAGGGCAAGGCAGGCGAGCGCGCTAGCAGCAGAGCAGCACGCAGGCAAGGCAAGGCAGGGCGACGCAGCGGCGAGTGGCGCGCGGGCAGCAGGAGAGGGCGGCGCAGCAGCGAGCGGCGCGCGGCAGGGCAGGTCGCGCGACGGCGCGGTGCACGGGCAGGGCAGAACGGCGCGGCGGCGGGCGGCGCGCGGGTAGGGCAGGGCGCACGGCGGCGCAGCGCTCAGGCAGGGCAGGGCGCTCGGCGGCAGGCGGCGCGCGGGCAGAGTAGGGCGCGCGGGCAGGGCGACGCGGTGGCGCGGCGCGTGGGCAGGGCAGGGCGCGGCGCGGCGGGCGGCGCGCGGGCAGCGCAGGGCGTGCGGCGGCAGGCGGCGCGCGGGCAGGACAGGGCGCACGGTGGCGGGCTGCGCGCGGGCAGGGCGACGCGGCTGCGCGGCGCGCGGGCAGGGCAGGGCGCGGCGCGGCAGGCGGCGCGCGGGCAGCGCAGGGCGCGCGAGCGCGGCGGCGCGGCGGCGGACGGCGTGCGGGCAAGCAGGGCGCGCGGGCGAGGTGGCGCGGCGGCGTGCGGGCAAGCAGGGCGCACTGCAGCGGGCAGCAGGCAAAAAAAAGGAGAGCGCGCTGCAGCGGGCGGCGCGCGGGTAGGACAGGGCGTGCGCAGGCAGCGCGACGCAGGGCAGGGCAGGGCGGCGCGATCACAGCGGCGCGACGGGTGGGGTAGCGCTACTCGGTGGGCCCTAAAAAACGGTCCTAGGCTAGGACCTGCTCTGAAACCATGTCAGAATAATGAACGAGAATGAAATGAACTAGCAGCAAGATGGGTACAAGTAGGAAACCCTCATTGGGTTGTGTCAACGAACGAACGTAATCTAGGCAACGGGTTTAGCTAGTAGGCCTAGGCTTAGTAGCCTAGGCCAAGCGGGAGTCGAGAGAGTTGTGCCAAGGATAATATCGAGAATGAGATGTGTTCACTATAGCACACAAGGTACATATAGTAAACTAGCAAAGGTGCACCACCAAACAAGCAATTAACGAACTACACTACAATAACTACAGCAAGCAGGATAGATATTAAATATAACTTTAACACACCCCCTTAGCCTGCTTGCAGTAATAACTAGTGCAGTCAACACCCCCTGAAGGGGTACACCTGGCGCAGTGGAAGATGGCAGAGAGTTAAATGAGGAGGAGGAGGCGAAAGGAAGAGAAGGAGAGGAGAGGGGAGAGGTACCAAGGAGGAGGTGAGAGAGGGATGAGGAGAGGAGGTGAGGGGGAGCCACCCGTGGCGAACCCCTCTTACTAACCCCCTTTTACAAAGGGAGAGGTGAGAGTGGGATGAGGAGAGGAGGTGAGGGGGAGCCACCAATGGCGAAACCCCTCTTAGTAACCCCCAAGTCCCCGCCCCCTTTCAACCACCCCCCCTTAACCTCACTCCCCCGTTCAGCCGCCCCTTAGAACCTCACCCCGGCCCCCCTTTCTTCCTCCACACCCCTGCCCCACCCACGGTAGTCCCTGCAGCGGGGTCTCTGCTGGCGGTGTAGCTGCTGGCGGGGTATCTGCTGGCGGGGTATCTGCTGGCGGGGGTCACTGCTGGCGGGGTCTCTGCTGGCGGGGGTCTCTGCTGGCGGGGGCTCTGCTGGCGGGGTCTCTGCTGGCGGGGGTATCTGCTGGCGGGGGTCTCTGCTGGCGGGGTCTCTGCTGGCGGGGGTCTCTGCTGGCGGGGGCTCTGCTGGCGGGGTCTCTGCTGGCGGGGGTCTCTGCTGGCGGGGGTCTCTGTTGGCGGGGTCTCTGCTGGCGGGGTCTCTGCTGGCGGGGTCTCTGCTGGCGGGGTCCTGCTGGCGGGGGTCTCTGCTGGTGGGGGTCTCTGCTGGCGGGGTCTCTGCTGGCGGGGTCTCTGCTGGCGGGGGTCTCTGCTGGCGGGGGCTCTGCTGGCGGGGGTCTCTGCTGGCGTGGCGGGGTCTCTGCTGGCGGGGTCTCTGCTGGTGGGGGTCTCTGCTGGCGGGGGTCTCTGCTGGCGGGGTCTCTGCTGGCAGTGTCGCTGGCGTTGTAGCTGGCGTTGTAGCTGGCGTTCCGCCGCCATTCCCTTCGAGGCGGCGGGGAAGTGCAGGAAGCTGCAGTCGCGGAATGTGCAGCCGCTGCAGTAGCATAGGGGCCAACAGGAGGGCGGGCGGGGAAATCTGCTGGTGCGCAACGGGCGGCGTGGATCTGACGATGGGCGGCGGAGCGCTGACCACGGGCGACGAGGAGGTGACGACGAGTGGCGCGGATGTGGCTACGAGCGACGGGGTTGTGGCGACGAGCGGCGGGGATGTGGCGACGACCGGCGGGGCTCTGACGACGGGCGGTTGGGAGCGTACGGACGTGCGGGGGGGAAACGTGGGATCCCCGAGTGTCGCAACGAGCAAGACAAAAGGCCGCAATAGCAGCGCGATGGTGAGCCGCGACGGGGACTTCGACAGGGACTGCGACGGGGACGACGGGGGGAACGGGTCTCGCCATCGTGACGGTCGCGAGCGTCACGGCGGATTTAGCGACGAGTGACAAGGGAAAAACGACGGGCTGGCGACGAGGGAAACGCGGCCAGCTCCCCGCCGCGCCCGTCGCAACGAGCGCTGTGCCGCGATTGGGTGGGCCCATTAACTTAGGTCAGGATCTTACAAGCTCAATACCATGTCAACGAACGAACGTAATCTAGGCGACGGGTTTAGCTAGTAGGCCTAGGCTTAGTAGCCTAGGCCAAGCGGGAGTCGAGAGAGTTGTGCCAAGGATAATATCGAGAATGAGATGTGTTCACTATAGCACACAAGGTACATATAGTAAACTAGCAAAGGTGCACCACCAAACAAGCAATTAACGAACTACACTACAATAACTACAGCAAGCAGGATAGTTATTAAATATAACTTTAACAGGTTGTTCCCCTTATGGGCTACCCCACTATAGCCTACATAATAAGCAGCATATAAGTTTGACAACACCTCCAGCGACCGCGAGAGGTTAAACGGCAGCGAGTGGTTTCCCCTACGAGGTAAGTAGCGTCAATTTCAGCATTTGCGAACGTACTAACTTCTCCTTAGTGTGTTTGTCTAAGTGCACCTGGAGTGGGAGCGGACAGCAAGGGGCAACACCTTCAATGACCGATAGTGATGAGCAGTCTGATGAAAACCTGTCCGATGATGTCTTCTCATGTATAGATATTAATTATAGTTATGTGCGTATGCTTGCCCAACTCAATACAGTACGAACCAACAATAAAAAAAAACATCAGGGTAACGGAAAATTTTACACATTTTATTAAAATTGAGAAAGCTTTCTTTCTGTTCTTGCAAATGCAGCGTGCTTCATTACAATTGCAGTAATTACAACATTCTCGTCCAGCTACAGATTATACAAATATACGACTAGGGTGGGTGGGTGGGGAGTGGAACTGAAAAGTTCCGAAATGAAGACGTGGGTGGAGGCCAAATCGCCTCCAACCCTCGTTGTGTATGCGGCGAATTGGAATTCGCAGTTGCCTTGCTGCGTTACAATCAGCTGCGCTTTCACAATACACATTTTTTGAAAGTGTTGCACACTAAAAAAAAAACATTATTCGATTACCCTGACGATTAAAAGCAATTATCACGTGGTACACTGATAATCAGGGTTTCCAAAACGACAAGACTGCTAGTAATGGGTTCATAAAAATGAAAAGTAAGCCCTTCTAATCACTCCCTGTTCTTCCTTAATTACGAGATGGACCAAGTGGTACCTACAGCGATGATTCCAGAGAAACCGGTACCAAGATCGTAACGCTTGCTGACGCAACTCCAGGATATCCGCGAGAAGGCCCTCGAAGCCATTCGGAAAGCAAACGCAACTGCGCGCAAATACTCAGATCCACTACAACGAGAAAGCACCATGGTTGCTAGGCAACTAGTACTGCTCGGCACGTAAAACCTTCGACTAACCATCTCGCCGAAACTCCGCCTGCAATATTGTGGACCCTTCCGCATTTTCAAGATGAGTTCCCCGGAAAAAAGCGAAATTACTTATGCCCAACTGTCAGAAATAGTACGTAGGAATGATGGACTAGGTAGCAAGGATGCGTACAAGTACTACCTAATCCTAAAGTGTTGTACCCCTTAGAGTATGCCCCACTACAGCCTAGAGATAACAAATGCAATTTGACACACCCCCATAGGCAAAGTGGGGGATAGCAAACACAACAGACGGTCACAAGACCAGTCAATCAAGAGAACAAAGTAAAGCAAAGCTCAGGGTGGATTTCAAGATCACCACGCAGTCTGAGCACAAGCAAGCGGCCACAAGGCCAGTTCACATGCAGAGTTATAAAAGCACAAGCAGTACAGTGATCACAACCTAGCAAGAGCAAGCAAGCAGGTATATAGATATATAGATTGTTAAAATCTAGAATAGAACGAGAATGCATGAAACTAGGTAGGAGGGGGATACAAGTAGGAAACCCTAACAAAGCTGTACCCCCTAAGGCTAAACCCACTATAGCCTACACAATATAAACATATAATGTTTGACACACCCCCATAGGCTAAGTGGGAGACAACCAGATGGTCACAAGACCAGTCAAAGCAAAGCAAAGCAAGCTCAGGGTGGATCTCAAGGAAACCACACAAATTCTGAGCACAAGCAAGTGGTCACAAGACCAGTTCACATGCAGGTTGATAGTATAACGTGAGATACAGTGATCACAACCTAGCAAGAGTAAACAAGCAGGTATATATACAGAGATCACAGTACAAGCAGAGTCAAGAAGTAAGCAAGTGAGGCCCAGTAGGCACGAGGCCTAGAACAGTTCAGAAGCGCTGATGGTCACAAGGCTGAAGCGCCTTGGTGAACACATCAGCAGTGTTGGCCCGAGCGGCCACGTAACGCAGACGAAGCTGACCGCGCTGCTGCAGCTCTCGAGCAAGGAAGTAGCGCAGAGCGATATGCTTCGTTCTGTGCTCCAGTCTGTGCTCCTCACACAAGGCAATGGCAGCCTTGTTGTCCACGTACAGCACTGGAGGAGAACGAGGCCGCTCTCCCAAGTCGGTCAGCAGGTAGGTGAGCCAGCGTAACTCCTGTGCAGCCATGGCTGTGGCGTAGATCTCAGCCTCACAACTGGAGCTGAGAACAGAAGACGAGCGTGTAGAACGCCAAGAAACTGAACCAGAGCCAAGGCTGAAGGTGTAACCCTGAGACGACCGCTGAGTAGCCTGGTCGTCAGCCCAAGACGCGTCTGAGTGCCCAGTGAGTACAACTCGGTCTCGTCCTCCAAGCACTAGCCCCATGCCCGACGTACTGCACAAGTAGCGCAACACCCTCTTAGCGGCATCCATGTGCTCCTTCCGGTGACGGCCAGCAGCGACATAGCGTGCAAGGATGCTAAGAGGGTATGCAAGGTCAGGTCGAGTGCAGGTCATCAGGTACATGAGGCAGCCCACAAGCTCTGGATACGGGCCACTCGGCTCTACGGACTCATCCGAAGGCAGAGCTGAGAGCGAGTGACCGGTAGGCAGAGGAGTGGGCTGAGGCGAGGAGTACGTGAAGCGGAAGCGCTGAAGGACCTGCTGCACCATGTGTGACTGAGTCAAGGTGATGGTGCGCCGTGCTCTGTCCCGGGTGATCGGCAAGCCAAGATAGCTTGTCAGTTCACCCAGGTCTGTGCACGTGTGTCTCTTCTGCAGCTCCGACTTCACGTGGGCGAGTGCCGCAGTGTCAGCAGTGGCAAAGACCAAGTCGTCGATGTACACGAGGATGTAGAACGGCGGCAGCGAGGTGTCGGTGCGTAGAAACAGCGATGGGTCAGCAGTAGAAGGAGCGAACCCAAGAGCCGCAAGTGTAGTCCTCAGTGTGTCGTGCCATTCACGTGGCGCCTGTCGGAGACCGTAGACTGGCCGCCGGAGGCTCCACTGGGTACCAGGAGGGAACGACCCAGTGAAGCCAGGTGGGCGGCGCAGCCAGATCTCCTCGTGCAGGCTGCCCTGTAGGAAAGCAGTGCTGAAGTCAAGAGAGTGGAGCTCGTAGTCACGCTGAGCGGCGACGTGCAGCAGAACCCGAAGAGTGGTCATCTTCGGGGTCGGGGAGAAGGTCTGGAAGAAGTCAACTCCCTCTCGCTGACTGAAGCCTCGTGCAACGTAACGCGCCTTGAAGACAGGCGGAGAACCCGGAGGCCGCTTCACCCTGAAAATCCACATGCCACTGACGATGTTCGCCCCAGGTGGGGGAACCTCGTCGACGTAGGTGCCTGTGGACTTCCAGGAAGCCATCTCTGCGTCCATGGCTGTCTGCCACTGAGAGGAGTAGGGACCCTCTATCGCCTCTGCGTAAGAGCGCGGAGTCGGGATGTCTGGTGCATCCGGGTCTCCCTCAGGGGCAACTAGCATGGACACGAGATGAGGTAAAGCAGCGGCAAAGCACTCAAACTCCTCCTGCCTGTCCTCAAGGACGTCCGTGCCAAGAGCACACTCACCCCCGACGGACGGAGGACAGACAGACTCAGACTCAGCAACTAGGCTAGCGGCGTAGTCTAGACGACAAGTGGCAGCAAAGTCGACAAGCTCGGCAACTAAGGCAGACGCAGCAGTGGACTCAAAGGAAGGTTCAGTGACAACAGTAGCCAGGAGACGCGTGACAGTAGGACTGGCAGCACGAAGGGAGTCAGACTCAGGGTCAGCAAGAGCAGGAAGAGAGGACGCAGGAGGAGACGGGAGAGGGACACGCTGGGGAGCAGTGGAAGGACGAAGCGCCATCTGGTGAGTGCCTGGGACAGCAGGAGGACGCTGACGCGGGACACGACGACCAGTGTGAGCAGCACGAACAGGCGACGCTTGACGAGACTCAGGCGACGCAGGACGAGACTCACGACGCTCCGTAAGACCTCCAGTCGGACCAGTGTAAGGAGAAGGACCAGGGAGAGGGGAGTCAGACGGTAACTGTGACTGCGACTGGACAGACGGAGGACACTCTAAGGAGGGAGGAGGACAAGGAGGAGGAGGCTGACCAAGAACCTGCTGAAGGAGCGGAACGAAGTACGGCCGCGGCCGCGCA